ACTGGTGGGACTAGCCAATGCTACTTTCCACAAACCCGGTTCTCTTCTGTGCATAGCATAGCCTTGGTTAAAATCCTGTCATTTGTCTGGGGTCCCTGACATGCTCTTGCTGTCTGTGCTTACTCCCTTGGAGATGCTGGTTGGGCATGGAGTTGAGGATGAGTGGGCCTGGGCACAGAAGGGGATGTGGTTGGAATCTTGATGCCCAATGAAAGGGTGTGGAGGAGAGGGCAAGGGACTTCCAGGAAAAGCGATGACAAGGCCGGGAAGTGTGGCGCCTCACCAGTGCACCAGTCCTGGCAGTGGAGCCCAGGGTGTGCCCTTGTTTCCCTCAGGATGGGGATTGTTCAGAGGGGTCGTGAGAGGCCACGCTGAAAATCCAGCTCTTCTGGGACCGCCGGCTACATCCTCAAAGCTTGGGAGACTCGGTGGAGCCTCGAGGTGCCTGGAACCAGCCTGTTCTTGGGGAAATTTTGGATTATTTGGCGGGGCAAATAATACTCAAGTCCCCTTGCTGTTAAATCTCGCCCAATTTCCTCTTCAACTCAGTCCGTCCTTTGCACCACCTCCTCGGCCTCCAGCCGCAGCTCCCCGCAATGAGTGCCCATCTTTAGATCCTGACAGTCCCACCACAATTGCACTGCTGCCCCTTGCTGTTTTGGGGCCTCTCTGAGAGGCAAACAGGGTCTGTCGATGGCCTCTTCAGCTAGCCTAGGGAGCTCCCAGTATCCGGATACCTGATTTGTGGTCCCAGCCTCCGGGGTGGGGATGTAGAACACACAGGATAATTCTAAGGGTGAGCACATTTAACCAACACACCTCAGATTTACACACTCACACACATACATGTATCTTACCTTTACCCACCTATCTCTTTCATTTACTATTTCTCTTTTCCTTCCTTCTGGTATTAGATTCATTCTCTTTCTAGTTATAAATTTCGAAGAATCACTTTAGCCCTTTGCCTCGGGGAGTTTGCTTTCGAGTCAGGAGCTTTTGCGAAGTGTGGTTTAGCAGTCTACCACATCCCAGGAATAGCTGGCTCAGCCTTGCTCTTCTCCCCTTTGGTTGGCTTTCTCCCTGTGTGCACCTCTCCCTACTCCACACACCCGGGGGCTCCCTTCCTGCTCTCACAGCCTCTCAGAGAAGGCCTGGAGGGTCAAGGTGGTCTCAGGAAAAGCAGGTAAGGAGAGGCCTGGAGATGAGCAGAAAAGGGAACCTCAGCGTAGGGTGTAACAACAGATTCAATCATGGTTGCAGGCAGCAGTTAAGGAAATGGGCTCTAGAGATAATCTGGGGGGTTTCAAACCCTGCTTTTTAGATGAGATAGAAAGAAATCCCTTCCTTGATTTCTTCACTGCAAAATGCATATAAAAATCACCTCTTTTGTAGGTTGTTGTGAGGACTAAATAATCCTATAGGTGAACATGCAAGTGCTTAGAACAACATGGCACATAAGGAAACACTCTGTAGATGTCAGAGATTTTAACTGGAGATCACAACGTTCATAGGGGCTGACATTGTGGTGTAGAAGGTTAAGCCGCTGCATGCAGTGCTGGCATCCCTTATGGATGTGGGTTTGAGTCCCAGCTGCTCCATTTCCAATCCAGTTCCCTGCTATTGCACCTAGGAAAGCAGCAGAAGATGGCCCAAATGTTTGGGCCCCTGCCACACTTGTGGGAGACCTGGAAGAAGCTCCTGGCTCCTGGCTTTGGCCTGTGTGGCCAATTGGGGAGTGACCCAGGAGTTGGAAGATTCTCTCTCTTTCCTTCTCACTTTCTGTATCTCTGCCTTTCAAATAAATAAATACATCTTTTTTAAAAATTTAATGGAAAGATGGACTTAAAAATGTTTATTTTGGGGGTAAAGAAATTTGAAATCAATGCATAGTTTTTTCATAATACATATTTCCATGAACTATTTGAAGACCTAGCACACTACATATTTTTCCACTAAAAAAGAATAGGAAAAGATAAGCTTAGTTATAAAAAATTCATAATAATAATAAATATAGTTATCAAGGGATATTTATTGCTTATTCCTATTTGCAAAGTAATTAATAGGCACTTTATTTTATTTTTTAAAAGATTTATTTTATTTATTTATTTGAAAGTCAGAGTTACACTGAGGGAGGAGAGGCAGAGAGAGAGAAAGAGATCTTTCCTCAGATGGTTCACTCCCCAGATAGCCACAATGGCCAGAACAGTGCTGATCCGAAGCCAGGAGCCAGGAGCCAGGCGCTTCCTCTGGGTCTCCCATGTGGATGCAGGGGCCCAAGGACTTAGGTCATCCTCTACTGATCTCCCAGGCCATAGCAGAGAGCTGGATGAAAAGAGAAGCAATGGGGACCAGAACCAGCACCCATATGGGATGCCAGCACCTCAGGCTAGGGCTTTAACTCAGTGCGCCACAGTGCCGACCCCAATAAGCACTTTATATTAATATGTCAGATATATTTTGTTGTAAGATTTGGCTACAATGTACATTTGACCATGCTTTTTAAAAATTTAATGGTAAATTGAAGATTATAATTTGCTAAAATAAACCATATCCGGGCCGGCGCCGCAGCTCTAACTAGGCTCAATCCTCCACCTTGCGGCACTGGCACACCGGGTTCTAGTCCTGGTCGGGGCACCGGATTCTGTCCCTGTTGCCCCTCTTCCAGGCCAGCTCTCTGCTGTGGCCAGGGAGTGCAGTGGAGGATGGCCCAAGTGCTTGGGCCCTGCACCCATGGGAGACCAGGAGGAGCACCTGGCTCCTGCCATCGGATCAGCGCAGTGCGCTGGCTGCGGTGGCCATTGGAGGGTGAACCAACATCAAAGGAAGACCTTTCTCTCTGTCTCTCTCTCTCACTGTCCACTCTGCCTGGCAATAAATAAATAAATAAATAAATAAAATAAAAAACCATATCCAGATTATATATTATCAGAGTTTCACATCCTTTCCTAACATCTAAATAAGCTTGTGTGGGTGTTTACTCTGGTGCATTTGTTGAAAAACAAATATTATATTTTGCTTAGTAAAGTGGAAAAAAGAATTGAAGTCACTTCAGTGTATGGATAGCAAAAGACAGTGAGGAGGCAGGAGCTGTGGTGCAGTGGGTGATGCTGCTGCTTGTGATCTGTGCATCCTGTAACAGAGTGCTGGGTTCAAGTCCCAGCATCTCTGCTTCTAATACAGATGTCTGGGAGGCAACAGATAATGGCTCAGGTGCTTGGGCCCCTGCCAGCCACGTGGAGGACCTGGATTAATTTCCTGGCTTCTGGTTTTGGCTTGTCCTAGCCAGCAGATGAAGATTCTCTCTCTCTTCTTCTTTTCTTTATCCTCTTCTTCCTCCTCCCCTTCCTCCTTCTTTTCTTCTTTCTTCTTCTCTCCATCTGTCACTCTGCCTTTCACATAAAATTAATAGATGTTTATCCTCAGGTAAATGCTGGATTTTCAGTAGGAGTTGCATTAAACTAATTAGTTTCTTTTAAAAAATCAATTATATCCACTGGGATTTTTCTTCTTTCTTTTTGTTTGGCTTTGGTTATGCTCTTTTTGAACACAGAAAGAGCCAACGCAAACAAGAAAAAGACAGGCCTTTCATCATCACTCTCACAATGGCTGATGGTAGTTCTTAGACTTCTTTTCTTAAAAGAAAAAAAAAAAACCTGTAACCATAGAATATTAGCTTGACTCAATCTCTGAAAAACCTATAGAATTTGGGAATTAAAATCATCCCCTTGTACTATCTCTGTCATTTGAATTAGATAAGATGCAGAGATGGGGAATGAGTATACTTGTACTGTTATCCAAAAGAAATGTCAAGATGAAGAGCAAGAAGTTAGGATATTACATAGCTCCCTTTTAGTTGCATCTGTACATAAGATTTTAAAAACTTTGTACTGTGAAAGTAAAAAAAGGGTCACTGTAGAAACTGAAAAATGCTGAAATAATAATGCAGGTCATAAAACATCATAAATTTTGCAAATGAAGATAGTCATCGTTAACATTCTGGTACAGGTTCTGTTGTCTGCATGTTCATATATTAAAACTTTTAAAGAAAGTTGGGAGTCAATTTAATATGTTTATATTTGGTTTTTATCTTTTTTCCATTACAATTGTTTTCCAGACATGAATATCTAAATCTATTTCCCATTTTTCTTAATTTTTAAAAGCAATTCTTTCCTTCCTTCCTTGAGGAAGAAGCAAAGACACAGAGAGAAAGGGAGAGAGTGCTCCCATCTGCTAGTTCATTCCCCAAATACCTACAATGGCTGGGCTGGGCCAGGCTGAGGCCTGGTGTTAGGAACTCTATCCAGGTCTCCCACATGGGTGCCAGGCACCCAACTATTGTCTGCATTGGCAGGAAGCTGAAGTCAGGAGCCTGAGATGGAAATGGGACCCAGGTACTCAGATATGGGATGCAGGCGTCTTAATTGCTAGCCTACATTCCCACCCCAAGGCATTGTTTCCAACATTGAGTAGAAGGTATTACTTTTAGCAATTTGACCATAACTGGTGTGCAGTATTTGTGGATTCATTCCCCTGTGTGACAGTGCATAATATAATGAGTTAGGTTGGTGGGTGAAGGAGAAATTAAAAGTGAGTGGATGAGAACATTGAGAACAGTAGACCATGGATGACCAAACTATTCTTAGTTTGCTCCCATGTTTATGAAATTCTCATTACTACCACAATTACATGAGAGATGCTAATATAAGCCAGGTTTTAAAACTTTGAAAATACATAGACTTTATGTTAGTAGAATTAAAAAATCATGCATTTGTGGCATATTAATACAATTACATGTTAAGGCACGGGCAGAGGAGAAGTTGTTCTGAGGGAGAGAGTTTCTGACATCACTGTAATTTTTAGTGTTGTGGATATTCCCAGGAAACTTTTTGGATGCTGTTGGGGATTTCCTTTTGACTGGATTTGGGCAATATCCTGCTATTATTCACAGGAAACCGTCCTATAAAAGGCTTGCAGCAGAAGCAATGCTCGGCAGTCCTTGGCTTGGCCACATCAGAACTGTTAGTGTGGCACAGGACGAAGGAGCAGCAATCTACCTGCCTCCCAAGCCAGCACTACCTGAAGTGGTAAGTGCAGAATTCTTTTCAAAGATAGCTTGGGCTGTGAGACACAGATGATCAGTGTGAACAGATGTGCAAAACGCCTTTTGATAAAAGATCTCTGCAAATGCTTATGGTATTGTGGTTAAAACCTTTCTTTTTTCTTGATTCTAAATGACGAAAATCTTAAATTTTGTACTTATGCATTTGAGTCAATGTCTACAAAATTTAAAAAAAAATGTGGAACCGGAATCCTTTACCTAAAATCTTAGGATTCTGCCTTAAACATCATGGTTGAATGATATGAGTATCTGGCTACCTGGGATTTCCTTCTAAAATAAATTTTTGTACTTTTCTTTCCAGCAAAGAATTTCATTGACGTCTAATCCTTCGATGAAAAGAACTCCTGAAGTCATGGTGGCCTCATGGCTTCTCTCCACTCTCACTTTCGGTGAGTCAATGTCATTAGTTAGACCAGGCACGATTTTGACTGGAGCATTTTGGACTGGAGCATTTTTCTGTATGAGGCTGTTCTGAGCCTTGCAGGATGTTTAGGGCATCCCTGTCCTAGGGGTGATTTTCTTTATTTCTTGTTGTCTCTCTTTCCTCATGCGTAAAATGTTGGTTGTAAATGGCCTGTTTCCCAGAGACCTAATGAGGATTCACTATCTTGGCTCAAGTAAAGTGCCTCATACAGTGCTTGGTGGTCCATACTGAGTGCTCAGGAAAGCAGGGTTATTCTGATGCTCATTCTACTGTAAAGTGGGTATACTGTTAGGCTGTGGTGGCCACTGGGCTAAAAGTACCCAGTGAATGGGTAGTCACAAGAGACAAAAGAAATGCTGGATTCTCCAAACGTACCTCTTCTTATTTTGAAAAGGTGACAAAACTTGGAAGCTCACAATGTGCCAGAAATACAGTGACAAGCCCAGTTAACAGAGTTAAGCTGCAGCAGGACTAAACACTCCCATTTCTTTTATGTTTTAGCCCTAGTGCTTCTCATTAAAGAGACTAGCACATGGACTTACCACTTCTCTGCAGAAAACATGACTTATGATGAGGCCAGTGCTTATTGTCAGCAAAATTACACGCATCTGGTTGCAATCCAAAATAAAGAAGAGATTGACTACTTAAACTCCATATTGGACTATTCGCCGAGTTATTACTGGATTGGAATCAGAAAAGTTAACAATGTGTGGATCTGGGTAGGGACCCACAAGCCTCTGACGGAAGGAGCCAAGAACTGGGCTCCAGGTGAACCGAACAATAAGCAAAACAATGAGGACTGCGTGGAGATCTATATCAAGAGACCCAAAGATACGGGCATGTGGAATGATGAGAGATGCAGCAAAAAGAAACTTGCCTTGTGCTACACAGGTAGGGTGTTTGAAGCAGCAGGAGGTAGTAGTTTCACCCTGTGGGCATCGTGATAAATTTATAGCATGCAAAAGTTGGTCTCTATTGTGGTAATTTGTTATTTTAAATAATTTCTGCTTATCTGTGAAAGACCATCTGATTCTTCCTGTGAATGTAGGCAAGAATGTCTACATATGCTCTGTGTGTATTTAGGATGTGTATCCTCATATGCAATGAATATTTTAGTTATTGCTTTATTTGTGGTAGGAGAACTGTCTTCAGAGTTTGTGATAAAGTGAATTTTCTAGGCATAATGCCAGGGACAGCTGTACTCTGAGGTTGTGCCTTCACAAAAAGGTTTACAACAGGTGAACCTGAAAGTCACATTTGGCATTTCGTGAAGCACTTCAGTTAAAATCGCAGGTAGTCTGTATCATTGGAGATGTGTGTGTGTGTGTGTGTTGCATGCTGTGGATCCTAAATTCAAAGGAACTCAGCATGGTAGCAGTCCTCCTCATGGGCTGCGTTTTCCACAGCTGCCTGTACGGAAGCATCCTGCAGTGGTCATGGCGAATGTATAGAGACCATCAACAACTATTCTTGCAAGTGCTACCCCGGCTTCAGTGGACTCAAGTGTGAGCAGGGTGAGTCTTGTTCTCACCTCTTCCTTTGGAGATAGGTCTGCATGTGTTGCCTTCCCTGGTGCATGTGGGAGATGATAAAGGCAGACTCTTCTGTGTTCACCTCCCAGTTTCCCCATGTTTTAGTTAGGGCACTTTGACAAGGTAGTTAAACTCTCTGGGTCCCAGTTTTCTTATCGCAAACTGAAGATGATAATCATACTGACTTTGTAGGCTCATGGTGACACAGTGCCTGGCACCCAGGAAACAATAGAGTTTCTAGTGTTATTCTCACCTACACAGGGTGAGACATGAATAGAATTAATCTGATTTTATTTATTTCAGTTGTGACCTGTGAAGCACAGGTACAGCCTCAGCACGGGAGCCTGAATTGTACCCACCCTTTGGGGAACTTCAGCTACAATTCTTCCTGCTCTGTCAGCTGTGAAAGGGGCTACCTGCCAAGCAGCACGGAGACCACATGGTGTACATCCTCAGGAGAGTGGAGTGCTCCCCCTGCAACCTGCAAAGGTAAATTTCTCGGAGTGCAGAGGACATTCTCTAGGTCATCTCACCTTGCCTTGGTGTTCCATCCAGCTTATAATATTTTCAAAACTCCAGGGAAATGTCTTCTTGTGTTGTTTTAAATAACCAATGCAGTCAATATATTAGGCAAATGTGGTACCTGCTTGGTGGGAGAGAGATTTTTATTCTCTGAAATGGGTGTCTCTGAGGCCCTGGTGGTTCTCCAGGGTGAATATAAAACACAAGAACCTCACCGTAAATTAGAGCAGCTTTCTCATCTCCACCTGTTTAACTTTCCCATGCAACGGAACTAACCTAGGACCTCAATAATCAGGCACTCTCAACCTCTCTTTGGCTCACTCAAGCTTATCTTTTTGGACCAGAGTAACAAAATAATTCAATCCTTCAGGTCCTTCTGGTCTTGAATGATTAAAAGCCTTGGGCATGTCTGTGTGGTTTTTTAAATCAAAATTAATCATAAATACTGATCTAAAATCAGTTTTTTTCATTTTTGCCTATGTATATGACAAAGTGCATCAGAGTCCACTCAGCCTAGTCAAAGTAAAAATGTGATAAGATGGAAACTCACTAAAAAAAGAATAAAAGCTTTATTGTGGGAATGCATATCTCTAAAAATTGAAGTAGGATTTTGGGATCTACCCTTTGGAAGCATCTTCCTTGTCCTGTTCTAAATTCCAATTCAATAGGAAGTGAAAATATCATTCTGTAAAATTCATGGTGCTCTTTCAAATCCCCAGTGGTCGAGTGTGATACTATGGGAAAGCCTGCCAACGGGGATGTAAAATGTTCCCCAAGCCAGGGAAGCGCCCCATGGAACACGACCTGCACATTTGACTGTGAGGAAGGATTTACACTGCTGGGAGCTCGGAGCCTCCAGTGTACCTCATCTGGGAGCTGGGACAACGAGAAGCCAACTTGTAAAGGTAGAGTTGCTGCACATCAAGACTTACCGTGAACATTCTCTTTTCTCTACTAATTCTTGAAATGAGCAAGGTAGACCGGCTAATCCAATGCATCCATATTTTACAGCTGTGTCATGTGACACCATCCACCACCCTCAGAATGGCTCAGTGAGTTGCAGCAACTCCTCTGAAGGGAAGTTCACCTTCAGGTCATCCTGCAACTTCACCTGTGAGGAAAACTTCCTGTTACGGGGGCCGGCCCAGGTGGAATGCACTGCACAGGGCCAGTGGACACAGCAAGCCCCAGTGTGTGAAGGTAAGCCTGCAAACCTCCTGGCCTCTTCCTTTCTCAAAAAGCAGTGGTCTTCAAATTTGGGCAGTGCACATGAAACCAGATGTCCACTTTAACTGTAGAAATCAGACTTGAAGAACACTCATCTTCCATCTATAGGATTTATATAAAAGAACCAGTGCTTGGTCAGGGAGAGGACTGTATATATTAGTGTGTGCTTTGTGGGTTTCTTAACTGTGCCATGCTAACCTAGGCATGGCACAGTTAACATTGGCATGGAATAAGCAGAATTATTAATCTAAAAGAAATAACTTCAGAACATTTGAAAGGAGGAATATTGAGAATATGATTAAATCTGAAAGTTTTCGTCATCTTTATTCTGAAATTGCTTATAACTAGCAGAGATGAGACTTGGTGTCTGTTACAGAGACACTCTTAATATGTACATATATGAACACTGAAATTTACTTCAGCCTAAATCAAGAGAAAGGATATTGCAAGCAAGCTTGTGTTACTAACAAGCACTGGCATTCTCCTTGACATATATACCCCAGAATGGTTTCAGTGGAAAACTGCCATAACACCAAAACCAACATGCAAAGCAGGTAAATTTGATATAGGTCATCTTCTATCTTTTTGGTGCCATCTTTAGGCATCTAGGACCCAAAAACTGCTTTCTGGCTGCATAAAATCTTTCTCTTGTCCGTAACTTCTGCATGTCAGAAGAAGAATGTTTAGGAACCACTGTTCCTGTTCAAGCTGTCCTTTAATTAGTGCCATTATCAAGGAAGGGATTACAATTTCAAGAAACCATAGCCGTCTTCCCAGGTGCCTCAGGAATAATGAAGAATCTTGAGTTTTTGAGTAGTGCTTTGCCCCACATAACTGGATTCACTCCCCAGATGCTCAGTTCCACAGCAGTATTTTCTGACAACCCTTTTGATGTCACAGCGTTCCAAGTTATAACCTTGTCCAGCCCGGAGTGACACTATGTGAATTATCTTCTTAGTGCTTCTGAAAGTTTCCAGCCATGAATTAATCTGTGAGCAGAGCAGGGAGTTTTGTTGAAGGGAACAAAAAGGCTCCAGTGTGGCTCCACAGTAGGACAATGAGAAGCCCACATGTGAAAGGCATGGTCTTTGTTTTTATTTTAAGAAAAAACAAAACAAAAAAAAAACCACAACTATTGAAGAGCTTAGAGGCTTGACTACCTTGGAGAACCTTTTGTGGTTCTATGCAAACAAAACTGCAGTGTTCTTGCTCTTGTCTTCCAGCTGTGAAATGTGATCCTGTGCACACACTTGAGGATGGCTTTGTGAAGTGTACTCATCCCCATACTGGAGAATTCACCTACAAGTCCTCCTGCACTTTCAACTGCAGGGAAGGCTTTGAATTACATGGGTCAGCTCAACTCGAGTGCACATCTCAGGGACAGTGGGCACAGGAGCTCCCCTCCTGCCAAGGTATGACTGAGTTCCAGCTTGTAGAGTACGGGTGAAATAGCTCAGAAACTCCTGACCCTAGATTATCCCAAGGGGCTTGATCCTAATTTCCTATATGCTGAAGATTAAGTGGTGCTTATAAGTTGCCTTTACTGGTGACTTTTAAGCCAGTTTAAGAAGGATTCCAATAGATTTTTCCTAACCATTTCCCCTGTTACCTATCATTTGCAGTGGTACAATGTCCAAGCCTGGCAGTTCTGGGAAAGACGAATGTGAGTTGCAGTGGGGAGCCTGTGTTTGGAACAGTGTGCAATTTTGCATGTCCTGAAGGGTGGACACTCAACGGCTCTGCAGCTCTGATGTGTGGTGCCGAAGGCCAGTGGTCTGGGATGCTGCCTACCTGTGAAGGTGATACATTGATCGATGGTGGTGGTGTGGGAGCCTACAGAGAAGGGGAATTGTCTGGCTGCAGTAATGAACTATCCTCATGTCCATAGCAGAAAGAAAGATCAGATTCACAAACTGGTGGACCTTATAGAGATAGAGAAAAAAAGCAGAAGAGGTAGCAAGTCAGTGGAATGGGTGTGGAATGGGTAGAATTCTGACAATTGGTAAAAGATGACCTTCAAGGGAAAGGAGGAGTGAGAAGTGGGGAAAAAAGGAGAGAGAGAGAGAGACACAGAGAGACAGACTCAGGTGTGTTACAGTTTTGTGAAAGGCTTGGCTAGTTAGAGTTCAGCCTGGCAGAAGTGGGAGATTGGCTCAAAGGCAGATAGGACAGATTTTAAAGGCCTCTATTGCTTTTTCTCTGCCTCACATTGAACTAGGTGACTCTTCTGCTCCTAATCATCATTGCAGAGAGACAAATGCCAAATGCATAGGGCAGAAAGATTTTAAAGTCAATTCCTTCTCATGATGGTTTTGTCCTTCTTGTCTCCTTAGAACCCATTGCGTCCAATGTTCCCTTGGCAGTTGGGCTTTCTGTTAGTGGAACCTCCTTCCTGACGTTAACCTCATTTCTCCTTTGGTTTCTGAAGTACTTTCGGAAAAAAGGTGAGGGGGTTTTGAATGCACTCCAAAAATACTTTTAAAAAATATATGTATTTCTCATTGATGAGTTGTGGTCTCTCTTGCAAATTTAAGCAGTAACTAGAACCTACTTGTTAGATAAGCACCAATAAATTGCTCTATAATTAAGTCAGGAAAAGTGTACAACTCAAAGAGGGCAGAGTTGTAGGAAATATTGTGGCTGTGTTAACTGTAGAAGTGCCACTTGCATTGAATCCTGTGGTGCCCCTGGAGTTGTGCGACAAGACTGCTGTGATTAGTGTTCCCAGGAAAATGAGTAAAATTCTTTCTCAAAAGATGTCCAGGAACATAGGCTAAAATTTGAGAATATCTTATAAGGAATATGCAAACACATGTACCCACACTCATGCTTTGTTTAGCCTACAGTTATTTAAAATTTTCTGAATTAAATTCTCATAGTACAAAATAGGAAATTTCACATAAAAACCCAGATTGCAAACTCTCATCAAAAATTGGAAGATGCATCTGGCAAGCTGAGCGTGTCACCGTTTGCTCGTCTTGGGGAGTGACTGTGCCCTTTGGATGGGTGTGCACTTTGCATTTTGCCCTAGTTTCTACACCGATATGTTTGTGCTCTGATGGTTACAGGGGTCCCAGCACACTGGGTTTACAACATTTGATGAATCATGTCATATTGTGTCTGGACTTGACATGTTCTTAAAAGCTGGTTATCTAAATTAATAATTTCCTTTCTCTTGCAGCAAAGAAATTTGTTCCTGCTAGCAGGTAAGTTGCATTCTTGTATGAAAGGCATGCTCTAAATACTCTACACATTTTTTTTCCTCTTCATGTTGCAAAACAATAATTTATTTAGTGTTCTCCTGTGTTTTGCAGCAGGTACGTAGGCCTTGAAGCACATGGAAACTGCCAAGTGCCTTCTCACCTCATTTAAATTCAAAAGAATCAGGTAAGACTTGAAAATCATGCAAGGTTATGTTTCCCCTTTAACTCTCCAAACCTGCCAATATACAGTGAGGGAATCACCAGTTTGATATTTTCTGAGAAGTTTGTTCACTTCTTTGTAGAAGAAGATGAAAGAAACAGAGAACTTGCTACACTGAGTCATTTCGTTTGTGAAAGAGGACAGTGATGATACCTGCCCCTTTCAGAACACTATTTCTAGGAGCGGTTCTAAGCTATGAAGTATAGAAATGGGAGCTGTTACTGAATTTTACATTATACAGAAGAAGAAAATGATGCATAGAGAAGTTAAGTGAAAACTTAAAGTTAGTGAGCAGTATAGTCAGGATTACAACCCAAACAGCCTGGTTTGAGATTGTGTTTTTAACCATTCTGCTCTGCTTTGTGGGAATTTTGGAGAGTTAAGTTCCTCTGATTATATATTTAAAATAATTTTTTATGTGTGTGAAGCTTGAGGTTTACAGAGAAATTGGGAAGGAAATACAAAGAGTTCCAACATGGGCCCTCACCATACCCTCTAATTCCCTCTGCTATTGACATCTTGCATTAGCCCAGTTCATTTCTTTCATAACTGATGGGCCCAAATCAACACTTTATTACTAAAGTCCACAGATTATATTAGGGTTCACTCTTTGTGCTGTATAGATGGAGGATGACATAACTCACCACTACAATGTCATACAGAATACTTTTTCCTAATGGAGTAGAATTTGATGTTCATGTTGGACTACCCCCTTGAGCATGTATGCAGTAGACTATGCTAGAATGTATGTTTTGTTATTAATTCCGGTATGCACAATATGAAGCATTCTATTAACACACATACTTATATTTATAGGAACATGGAAGCCCATCCAAGGAACTAGAGCAATAAATGAAAATGGCAGATACAGAGAACTCTCCTAGTGTCTCTGGCTCTTCTCATCTACTGTACCAATGCCATTATAGGAGGGCTGTAGTAACGACCTTGACTTCAGTGGATCAAAATCCAGTGGAAAAGGCCAGCCTTCTACCAATAAGATTCAGTTTTCTTTTTCCTGTTCTCAGGACCAAGAACTTGTGGGTGACTGAAGGGAAAAGTTATTCTCTTCCAAGCCAAGGTGCAGAGACCAGGGTCTGGAATATCGGGATTCCTTTGCTAACTCTCTCCCCTTGCTCACTCTGAACTCCCAGTGGAGAAACAGTATTTTGTGGCTTTGTTTATTTATTTTGCCCCTCATAGTGTTCAAATGCTAATTACATGGTTGCTGTCAGGGGGATAACTAATGATTATCAAAAGGAAAGAGATTGGCCAAAGGTATTGCTTTCTAACGTGAAAAATGACAAACTTCCTGGGAGGATTGTTAATGGTGCAAGGTGCAAACCCTACTTAATGCTCTGTGCAAGGATTATGAAGCACAGTTGTAATTACTTTTATCCCTATGGGATTCACTATGTTTTAAAGTGTGCTTAGAGATGGTATTCTTTCTATTTGTATTGAATATGACTTAACCTTTCATCATTCTTAATTCAGTACAAGTTATTATAGGGACCTTAAAAATTTGCACTATATTGTGGACTGTTATAGGATAAAAGTTGTTTATCCTGGACTACCACTTCTCTGTTTATTAATGAATTCTAACATTACATCTGTAGTGATTTTCTTTCAAACGAGGGCAGATGTTGTCTGCTAACACTGCACAATGTTAACCAGTCTGAAGTTTTAAATGTTTTACTACAGCTGTTTTTAAAGCATGGTACTAACAGGAGCACACAAACTCAATAGAGAGTTTGCATATTGTCAGGATATTTTTTCAGAAATAAGTGGTTTTATGATGAAAAACATCCATGAGGCCAACTGTTCTGATGTGAAGAAAGCATAGAGGAAAACAAAACGAAGTGCAATTTTATATGTGTCTTTGTTGAGAAAAAATGTAGAGATGTGGATGTGCTTTGTTTTCCTACAGATGTTTGTCAGATGTGATGTGTGAACAGATAATCCCTGTATATTCATAAGTCTGGAGAGAAACTCACACATAAAGGGCTTTTCTAGCAGATTTTTAAAAATGAAGATGTCTAATAATTATTCCCTAGTTATTTTATTCTGTATTTTAGGTTGTTCTCAAAGAGGGAAAATGCTGTGTAAGCAAGTATTCATGCCTATTTAGAACCAGAGTTTAAAATTCCTACAAAATCTCCAGCTGTCATCTGATCACTGGGTGAGATAGTCTTGGTCAGTAGTTGCCAAAACTGCCCATCCTCATGGTGGTATATAAGAATCAAAGCTTTCCCATGCTTTTCCATGTTGAAAAAGTTTCAGAGATGACTGGCTAGGTATTGGCAATAGCAAAGCCAAGAGTATCAGGGAAGAGTGATAAAGATCAAAATAGCAGAGGTTTTTTTTTTTTTTTTTTTTTTTTTTTTTTTAAGAGCAGATTAACTGTAGGAAACAAGACAGAGAGAAAAACATTTCATTTGTCCCCTGGTATCTATAGGAGATTGGTCCTGGGATCCCTTGCAGATACCAAAATTCAGGATGCTCAAGTCCCTTACGTAGTGTTTAAGATATAATCTACACACATTTCCCTTACACTTCAAGTCATCTCTACATGAGAATGCCGAATACATTATACATGTAATGAAAATAATTGCTATATTGTATTGTTTAGGGAATAATGACAACAAGAAAAGTCTGCATGTACTCAATATGTATACAATTAAAATAGTTTCCATTCATGACTAGTTAAATCCATGCAAACAGAACCTGTGGATGCAGAAGGGTGACTATACTATGATCATGCTACGTATAGAATGACTTATTATTTTCTCTGGAATTGTTCAAATGGTGTAAATATTTTATATGCTGTCTTAGAAGTAATTGTGTGAAATATAAATATGATCTGTGCTTGGGTTTTATTAGGTATTTTAAATTATGATTTAAAATTTATACAATTTTTAAAGTGTATTTATTTAAGCTTATGACAGGCATATTGTATTTAATATAGCACTATGAAATTTTGACAATAAATGGTTCATATTTATCTCTGTGAACAGTCTCTTTCTTTAGAAATTTAAATGGAACTCACTTGACATAAAAATTACCCTTTAAAATGTACAAGACTGGGGCAGACATTTAGCCTAGTGGTTAAGACACTGGTAAAGCTGTCTGTGTTGCATATTGGACTTCCTGGGTTCAATATTCTGCCCTGACTCCTGACTGAAGCTTCTTGATAAAGCAGACCCTGGGAGGTAGCAGCGATGGCTCAAGTAACTGGGTCTGTACCACCAGGTAGGAGACCTGGATTGAGGCGTCACTGGGGACATTTGGGGAGTGAATGGGCAGATGGGAGCTCTCTTTCCCTCTTTCTCCCTCTTGGTGTATCTCTTTTTATGTTTGTGTCTCTGCCTCTTAAATACAAACAAATAAATCGGTTAATTAAATTGTACAACATTGTGCAATCACCACCAGTACCTAACTCCATAAGGCTTCTATCACCCCAAAAAGAAACTTGCACTTGTTGGCAGTCACTCTTAATTCCAACCCCTAGCCTCCGGCCACTACTAATCTACATTCACTCTCTATGAATTTGCCTATTCTGGACATTTAATACAAATAAAATCACTCAATATGTGACCTTTTGTGTCCATTTTTTTTCCCACTAAGCATAATGCTTTCAAGATTCATCCATACTACTGTGTCGGTACTTCATTCCATTTTATGATAGCATCCTGTTGTACAGATGCGCCACATTTTGTCTCACCATTCATCACTTGATGGACATTGGGTTGCATTCATAAATATGTTTTTGTGTAGACTTATGTTTTAAATTTTCTTGGTCATATACCTAGAAGTGGAACTTTGGGCTACATGGTAACTTTATGACTCAGTTTTTGGGGAATCTCCAAAGGGGCTGCACCATTTTATAATCCCACCAGAAACACACCAGTGTTCCAGTTTCTCCACACTATGGCCAACACTTGCTACTGTTTGTTGTTTTGATTATCACCATGCTAGTGCATGTGAGGTGCTGTACAAAAGTAGGCTCCAATACTGTACAATTGTCTAAAATCTATTAATAATTTAAAAAAATCACCAAGACCAGTGAAATAAAGTCCTTGACCTGCCTTCTTGCTTCATGCCAGTCTCAATTCTAAGTTGCTCAAGTTAATTGATCCTTTTTCACTAATACCACAGATACCATCATTCTCCAGGATTAGTTCTAGAGTAGGTATTTTTTTTTTAACCACCAAAATATCTATCTTCGCTCTTCTGAAGTAGTGTCAACCCAGACCTGGTGTATACCATACTAAAAACCATCAAAAGAATTTCATTTTTATCAGTGTCAGAACAGGGGCACAACACATGACTCCAGCAGCCGAGAGCTGGAGAGGGCGCCAGCTTTGGAGACTGTGTTGAGATTGGACTTCAGATAGCCAGAGGGACAGTGAATGAGTCCAGGCTGGAGCTGTGAGGGTGAGAGGACACCTGCTGAAGATAAAGGGGACATGTTTCTCTCATCCCATACCCCGCCCTCCCCACACACAATGGTGCCTGGCAACCAGCTGAGAGTCCGGGCACCATTTTGGGCATAAGTGGCAGCTACGGAAGCCCTTGTGCACATGCAAAGCAACTAGCTGAGACAAGACACCATCTTCTTAGCAATACTGGCAGCAGCAACTTTGGTGCAACCAGCAGGAAGAAGGCAAAATTTGGTCAGTAGCTCTGTGTATGCAAGTTCCAGAGACCCTAGCAGAGAGAAAAATCCACATTCCTCATTGACTTTGAGTTCTGCAGGAGGATTGACAGGGGTACTAACACAGGACTGTGAGGCACCCCCAACCTCCCAACATACCATGGGCTCTGGAGCTCAAACTGCGGAGGTGGAGCACCCACAGGTGGCTGGCTCTGGGAACATCTCTGCTTCTCTGTGAACTGGACAGGTTCAGGGCAGAGGGGAGCAGATCCTCTGTACCCCGTGACTGTTGGAGCCTTGTGTGCTGAGACTGTAGAGAGTCTGTGACTGCACAAGAGGGCGCAAGGTGTAGCTGGGTTTCTGGGCAATCACTGTATGTGGCTCCACTCAGAGCCCGTTGATTGCCTGGGGTGGGTCATTGCAGCAGGAACTGTGCTCACAGAGAGAACTGCACAGGTTGTTTATGCTGTTCTTATGGCGACACAGATGAGTATTGCACCCGCTGAGGCCTAACACCTGGGCGGTGACCACATTGGAAGAGAAGAGATGAGGGTGTGGTCACACCCCTGCTTCTGTGCACCAGAGGAGATTCACCATGCGCAGTCTGGGTGTTACACTGGGTACTTGCCCCACCCTGGAGCATTGAGCAGAACTCCCTGATCACACCCAGCAAACACATCTGCGTATTCACTGAAAGTGCAGACATTCCACTAAGCCACACAGGTATAGCTTAAAGCCATCAGAAGATAAAACCAATGCATATAACCACAAATGCCTAAAAATAAATGCAGAAAATCAAGAAAAAAGAAAGAATAAGAAAGACAACATGACCCCCCAAGGAACATAACGACACTTCAATATTAGAATGTGAAGATGAAGAGATTGATGAAATGCTTGATGTGAAATTCAAAAGATTAATCATAGAGTTACTCAGAGGCAATGAGAAGAAAATCCATGAATAAAATCCATACATGACATGAATGAAAATTTTTCCCACAAAACTGAGATTTTAAAGAGAAATCAAAATGAAATACTAGAAATGAATAAATCAATAAATTAAAAAAAAGTGGTCAAGGGTCTGAACAACAGAATTGATGAGGCAGAGGAAAGAATATCTGAGTTAGAAGATGAATCTCTGAGCTGGTGCCCTAGCTCAATAGGCTAATCCTCTGCCTGCGGTGCTGGCATCCCAGGTTCTAGTCCCGGTCAGGGCGCCGGATTCTGTCCTGGTTGCCCCTTTTCCAGGCCAGCTCTCTGCTGTGGCCAGGGAGTGCAGTGGAGGGTGGCCCAAGTCCTTGGGCTCTGCACCTGCATGGGAGACCAGGAGAAGCACCTGGCTCCTGGCTTTGGATCAGCACAGTGCACCGGCTGCAATGTGCCGGATGCGGCGCCTATTGGAGGGTGAACCAATGGTAAAGGAAGACCTTTCTCTCTGTCTCTCTCTCTCACTGTGCACTCTGTCAAAAAATAAATAAATAAATAAATAAATAAGAAAAAAAAAAGAAGATGAATCTCTGGAAATTTTTCAGTCAGACCAAAAAAAGATAAAATTAGAAAAATGAAAAAACAGTGTTAAAGATTTATGGGATGCTATAAAATGACCTAACATATGGGCCTTAGCAGTTACTGACGGTATGAAAAGAGAGAATGGATTAGAAGTCCTTTTTTAGTGAAACAATTCCAGAAAATATATCCAATTTGGAGAAAAAAAGTGATGTCCAACTACAGGAAGCACATAGAACACTTAATAGACATGACCAGAAAAGATCTTCACCACAACACATTGTGGTCAAACTTTCAACAGTAAAATAAAGAAAAGACTCTAAGAGCCGGCGCCGTGGCTCAATAGGCTAATCCTCCACCTTGCGGCGCCGGCACACCGGGTTCTAGTCCCGGTTGGGGCGCCGGATTCTGTCCCGGTTGCCCCTCTTCCAGGCCAGCTCTCTGCTATGGCCAGGGAGTGCAGTGGAGGATGGCCCAGGTGCTTGGGCCCTGCACCCCATGGGAGACCAGGAAAAGCACCTGGCTCCTGGCTCCTGCCAGGATCAGCGCGGTGCGCCGGCTGCAGCGGCGGCCATTGGAGGGTGAACCAACGGCAAAAGGAAGACCTTTCTCTCTCTGTCTCTCTCTCTCACTGTCCACTCTGCCTGTCAAAAAAAAAAAAAAAAAAAAAAAAAAAAAAAAAAAAAAAAAAAAAAAAAAAAGACTCTAAAATGTGCACAAGAGAAATGCCAGATTACTTTCAGAGGATCTCCAATTAGGCTCACAGCTGATTTCTCATCAGAAAATCTATAGGCTAGGAGAGAATGGAGAGACATAGTCCAAATTTTAAGGGAAAAAATTGTCAACCCAGAATACTGTACCCTGCAATGCTCTCATTTATGAATGAATGTGAAATAAGCACTTCCATAACAAAGAGAAATTGAAAGAATTAGTCACCACCCATTCAGCTTTACAAAAGATGCTCAAGGATGTGCTATATACAGAAAATCTATGAAAAAAGGTGAAGGCAGAAAATCTCTCAGTAAAAGTACAAAGGAAATCCAAAGTAAACAATAGGAATATTTATGGAAAAATGGCAGGGCCAAACATTTACTTATCAATATCCACAATGAATGTAAATGGCCTTTTAACTCTCTAGTTAAAAGATACAGACTGGTTGAATGGATTAAAAAACAAGTCCCAATTATTTGTTGCCTAAAAGAAACACATCTCACCAATAAAGACACACACAGACTGAAAGTGAAAGGATGGAAAAAGATATTCTATGCTAATAGAAAACAAAAAGGGCAGGTGTTGCCAACTTAGTATTAGACAAAATCGACTTCAACACAAAAACTGTTAAAGGAAATGAAGAAGGACACTATCTAATGATTAAGGGATTAATTCAACAGGAAGATGTAACTATAATAAATGTGGTTTAGATAACTTATGGTGCTTCAATATAAGGATCACTCCTTGACCTTTAAGGAAATAGTGTTTTGTCAAACAAATTAATAAGAACTATATCCTACTGGAGTTTTAATGACTTTTGTGACTATGTTAAAATTTACTTTATATGAGCAAAATTCATTTGATCATTGTTTATAGCTCTTGCCTATTTTCTTGCTGTTCTATTGTCTTTTTACTTTTTATTTGTTGAACTCTTTTTTTTTTTTAAATTTTTTTGAGTGGACAGAGAGAGAGAGAGACAGAGAGAAAGGTCTTCCTTTGCCATTGGTTCACCCTCCAATGGCCGCTGTGGCTGGCATGCTGCGGCCAGCGCACCGCGCTGATCCGATGGCAGGAGCCAGGTACTTATCCTGGTCTCCCATGGGGTGCAGGGCCCAAGCACTTGGGCCATC